GTGTAATTCTTGCACGAGTGTCCACTTCCGGCCATGAGCGTCAAGGAAGTCTCAGGCGAAAGCCCCATGTTGAAAAGTTGCCGCTCTCCATCTGTGCAGCTGCACCATAGGCTTAAGCTTCCGAGTTTTAGGTTGAAAAATATTTGAACTGAACGCCCAATTTAGAAAAGGAGCTGCCCTTTCGCGTGCAACTGTTAGATATTCTTTGTGGAACCAGGGCATCTCAAACGAAAGCCCCATTTTGAAAAAGTGCCGTCCTCCATCTGTGCAGCAGCACCATAAATGCAAGCTTCCGATATCTAGATTGCAAGAGATCTCAACCGAACGCCCTATTTGGAAAAGGAGCTGCTCTATCTCCGTGCAGCTGTCACATTTTCTCAAGTTCCTGGTCTGTAGAAGTAGGACTTTGTAGGCGAACACCCGAAGGTGAAAAGGAACCGCCCACATCCCTGAAACTGTTCCAAGCTTTTGCGACGCATGTGCGCGGCGCTAAGGCGAGAGCCCAATTTTGAAACGGAGCAGCCATCCATCCATCCTTTAAAGAGTTCCAAGCTTTAAGATGAATGTGCGCGGCGCTAAGGCGGGAGCCCCGTGTTGAAAAGGAATTGCCCTCAATCTTCGAATATGCTGTATCAGTTTAAACTTTGAAATGACCTTTCTCCATTTTAGAAGCTGACGCAAACTTTAAGACGAATGTGCGCGGCTCTAAGGCGAGAGCCACATTTTGAAAATTCACCCCTCCATCTTTGAAGCTGTTGTATAATTCAAGCTTCAGGATCGTCATACATGGGGAGGAAGTCTCAGGCGAAACGCTCCGCGCGCCCTACCGACCGACACTTCCGGGGGCTGCGACAGAGAGAGCTAGCCTTTTCCTCCTCAGTCTCCTTGCGTGCCAGCGCTTGGCCGTGAATTTGGGTGAGCCTCAAAGTATTGGAGAGGCCTTATGGGCGGTGCCGCCGACCTGGAACGACGACGGCGACGATGACGACGACGCTGACGTGGGTCAGAGTCCCCAGGGATGCTTCTTGGGGGGTAGTTTTGGGTCTCTTGGGAGCCTCTCGGTGGCCTGTTTGGAGGCTCCTGGGGGCCTCTTGGGGCTTACAGGGGGCCTCTTGGGGATCTCTTGGTGGCGTCTTGGGGACCCCTTGGCGCTTCCTGGGAGCCTCTCAGGCTCGAAATGTCCGTTCGGGTCCCCCGTCTGGGCGCTCTCTTGGAGCCGTCTTGGGGGCCTCTTGGGCCGTCTTGGAGGCCTCTTGGGCCGTCTTGGGGCCCTCTTGGATCGTTTTGGGACTCTCTTGGAGGCCTCTTGGTTTATCTTGGGGTGATCTTGCGGGCTTCTTGGGACGTCTTTGAGTGCCAGGAAGTCGAAAATGCGACATGCGATAGTCCCAATATCCATCAACAAACCACGGGACATCAATGATTTTTGCCTCTTGGGGCCCTCTTGGAAGTGCTCTTGGAGGCCTGTCAGGGCATCTTGGG